TAACAACTTTATCATACTAACTTTATCTTAGCGTTAACTTGCCATAGAAAAAGATAATATTTTTTATTACATAAAGCTAGTGATCACAAATTCTTAAAATTCTGCCATTTTTGTATCAGTCTTTCTTAAAAAAATAAATATAAGTCCCCTGGTTACAGTGAAGCTTACCTGCATGTACGAGCGCTTTGCTGTAAAAGTAATTTACAGGCTATATTATGCAGACTAGAGTAAACTGAGAATTCAAGGAAATGCAAGCTTGTATAAGAAATAGAAATTGGTTTATATAATATTTTTTTTAATTTTTATGTTTATCTCAGTTCATCAAATTAATGCTCAGTTTTTCTCAAAAAGGTGAGCTACACAATTTTTTCTGCGTTTTTAATTTTGTTATTAAAAAACTTTCTTTGCAAACTTATACCACATAAAATTCAACAACAAAATTACAAAATTTTTAAAAGCAGCATATATTTAGAATTTCCGATAGAATGGTAATAATTTTTTTAGACTTTTCTCAGTTCAATCGTATCAATGTTAAATTAAATTTTAACATTGATACGATTGATAGGACTTAAATTTTTTTGTCTTTTGATAAAGTTTTTTTTTTTAACTATATTTATTAAACATCTCTTTGTGATTATGCCACATAAAGTTAAATAGCAAAATAACAAAATAAAAAAAAAAAAAACAACCTATCTTAAGAATTCCCGATCGATTGTTAAGTGTTGCCCTAGCTTGTTTTTATATTCGCTATATTATTTCTTTAAAAATAATAGATGCGATATCATTGTGTGATAACATTATTTTATTTGAAAATGAAAACGGCACAAAATAGAAACGGAGGGGATTCGTAGGTGCTTTATGATGCTTTAAAACTGCGGGAAAAAAACTTTTTACCATTATTCTCATATTAGCCTTCGTTTTCATCGCTTCTCGGCCTTTTGGCTAAGATCAAGTGTAGCCTTCGTTTTCCATTCTTCAATATAAACGCAAAACATCAACTTCCGTTCGTTATATCAAAAGTATCACGTTATCCGCAATTAGCTTATCATCTTATTTGATTTTTCTTCAAGACTAGTTTCTTCTAACAGCATTTTCCCCTCCTTGTTTAACTCCCATTTACGAAGTAAATAAGTATTGTAACTGCGAAAACTTTCGGGGATTATCTTTTGATGAAAATATCTATTTTGACCGTTCTCGAATCCATTTTGACTATTTTTTGCGTGACATCTGTACGTACAAACAGAAGAAAGGACTGTATTTTCCCAAAACAGATTGTACAATGGATTTCAAACGGATCCAAATTGGAGTTTTTCGTGACATCTGTACATAACTCAAAAACGACCACAAAACATTGAAATTTTGTGTATGGAACTGCTAAAACATCTAGTGTGAACAAACCCTTTCACTGCAAATGGCAATATGAAATATATATATATATACATATGTAATAAAATGACTTAATGAAAGTTACAACAGATCGACGATGGTTCTCTGCATTATAACTTGAAGAGACTTTACTCTGCAGTTAGAAAGATGACATTCGAAGACAGACGTGGCTGTTGATTTGGAAACATAATTTTATTCCTTGATAATGCACATCATCACTGTGGGTGCGCTATGCACCCCACAATTTTATACAGCTTACATCTTCTTCTTAAACAATGGACGAAATTAGAGAAGTAATCTCGGCGTGGCTAGCAGCAAGGCGAAGCAGCGGGAAAAAGCAGAAGAGAAGAGAGTTGCGACGCAATTATCTTTTATACCAGATTACATTTCACATCACATGCCAGATTAATGTCTAGATGTTGGGTTAAGATTTCATCGATAAGTGCGCAATACAGATTAGATGATGGATTGTTTTCAGAATCGCAGGAAGCTTAGTTAGAAAATTATTGCTCTGTTATTTTTAGAATGAAGACGGGAGTTAAAGGGATATTATTAATTTACTAATTGAAAAAAATATATTTTATATATATATATATATATATAAATATAAAATTTAACGTTTAAACAACTTTTAAATTGTGTTTCATTCTACAACTATTGTATGCAGATTAACAAAAGGCATAAAAACTTTAATCGGAAAATAAGAATAACATAAATCAATCACATTTAAAGCTATATTATATCATATTTTTAAAATAATTTTGTAATTATGTGTATATATATATATATATATATTTATGTATGTTTGGTAAGGCCGATTGCAACAAAAAGGGAAGTGGACAACTACATGTTATAGCAGACCCATATACGAAATTACAACATTCTACGGCTACTTATTTTAGAGTTATGCGAGATACCTACTTACAGACGTCAAGAAAAGTCTCTTCTGAACCCTTTTTGGCAAAAATAATCCTTTATCCTTTCCGTGCGTACAGATGCCATGCAAAAAAAAAAATTTCAAATGGTTTCGAAAGTGGTCAAAATAGATATTTTCATTGAAATTTTCATTTTTCGAGATTGCAATACTTGCTTTACTTCGTACAAGGAAGTAAAAACAAATTGGAAACTGGAAAATCGGTATTCGAGTTATGCATGTTCGCCTGAAGCAACCAGAACCAACGTTTTTCCACAGTGCGAGGAACAAACATACGTATAGACAGACACGCAGATTCTTCTCTATTTAACAGTAGATATTATATTGTACTACTACGCAGCACAGTGATGGTAATATGCCACAAAATAGGTGGTGAACCGATATTGCAATCAGGATATCCGAACTCATTCGGGTACCATTTAAAAAAATGGTTTTTATTTTAACTATAAACGTATTAATTTGAAGATAAGCATATTAATGAGTGAAAACAGCTTAAAACGTAATGCTAAGTAATTTTAATTTTGAAAAATATTGAAAAAAAAAAGGATAATTTTTACTTAAATTTTGTCTTTACGGCAACAACCGCGGTGCAATGTACATATAAATATGCACTTTTTTAAATTTGTATTTATGTTTACACTTGTTTTGTATGCAATGAAGCAAAATAATTAAGAAATATTCATATGTTCTTGAGATATGTCAAAATACATAATATTTACTGCATATTTTCTTATTATCGCATCCAAAATCTAAAAATAAAAAGTAACAATTCAACTTCTAATTAATATTTCTAAAATCTCCCGCTTCTGGGCATGCATCAGATTATAGGAAACATGCATAGAAAGTATCATTTAGTTTTATCCATAAAATGTTGAGTTATGGCTGTTACCATTGGCAATATTTACAGAAAAAAAAAAAAAACATTTTTCAGAAAACAAGTTTAAAGTTTTCATAAAACAATTTCTCAGTGAAAAAAAACATCCCTGATAATTAAAATCCTCTACTTTGTAATTGACACCTTTTTTTTTTCCACACACATTGCGCTTTTTCTTTTAAACAAAGCGTAATTGTTTTCTTTGGGTTTTTAAAACTTGCGGAATGCCGCCAAGAGTCATGATTTTGCATTTTATCAAGTTTTCGAATTCCCTGCTCAGTGTAAAATTCAGGACACAGACCTATTCTTGAAAATGCTTCGAGCAAACCTATAAATACATCATTAAATAACATTAAATAACACAATACTTACATTTGCTCCAAACATTAATGCTCGCAAGTTTATGAATGTTTCTTTCGGAACAATTTGCAATAAAATGCCATTAAAACGTTCCTTGATATTTTGAGTTTTCCCATGTATGCACTTTTTTAATAACTCTTGTTTATGTAGCCAACTCCATATATGTAGGTTTAATTAAATTCAAAATATATGTTGATATACCACAGGTTTTTGGGTGATATTTTTCTTTTCTGCAATCGCTCATTGATAGGTGCACTAACTCGTTGATTGAGGAGGGCATTGGCTTCGAAGATGAGCTACAATAGAACAAGCAGCTAGTACATCCTGCTGCATCTCAATTAAGTTTCTAACATTACTTCTCATTGCAATCCCTAATTCTACAGTTTATCAATAAAAGAACCAGTTAGTTTACCTTTTCCTTTCAATCCAGGGAGTGGAGTTTTTTTACTTTTCGTAGTCTACTACCAAACCTTTTGTGTACATGTCCAAAGCATTCGAGTTTCTTGACCGAATATTTGCCATATATATTTTTCACAATTAAAAAACCCCTAGAATCCCCATCCATATAATACTTCGTGTACTTCAGCTTTCGTAATGTAATAGATCATTCAAAAAGCGGATAAGCACCAACTGCTTCCATACCCGAAGCTGCTTCTTTATAATTTGCAGAACAATTATGTTACGCTATACATATTATGAACTATATGTCGTGCTGAAGATTGCATTCCATTTTGTTTATTTTGTTGCAAATGATGCAAAAATGTGACATAGCCTTCAAATCAAGCACTTTTGTCAACGTTAATCGACAAAGCAGTAACACATCTATTCAACGTCGAACACTCTCTGCGCCAAACTAAATACGAAATTTAGGTAAAAAACTACCGCCAGATTCTTAAAATGCATTACAAAGTATCTGAACTTAGCGCAAAGGTTTATAATTTACAACATCTTGATGATAAATAAAGTTTCTAAATAGGTATGTCTATTTAAACGCTCACTTCCGGCCCAGAATATTGGAACTTCCGGTTTATTCCCTTACAGAAAAATGCTTATAACTTCAGTTCTAATTAACCTATCAACAAGCAAAAACTCGTATTTGATAGCTAAAGATGTATTCTTTAAAATAATGTATTAAATTAAAAATCAAAATTTTGACTGAAAATCGTCTTTTCTACGAGGTCGGTATGGTCCACCAGGCGGCCGACCGGTAAAGTCGCTGAACACTGGTAGTTCGGTCCGAGGTTCGAATCCCACGAACGGGCTGGCTGCATGAGCGTTTTCGTGGTTTTCCCCATGTGTAGCGTGTATACGAGCCAGTTTTCCTTAGAAAGTCCTCCACGAAGGCATCCCTCCCCTTAGGCAGATAGTCCTAGTGTGCTTTGCTATAATTAAATAATAAAACATTCTGCGAGGTCGGACACCTCAAGTGAGGAAAAGCGAGTTTACCTGTTAGCTAAACCGGGAGAATCATACTTGTCGGGATTGCTGAGCCTGTAGTGTTTAACGAATTCGCTGATGGGTCTCATCGGCATCTTTCCCTGCATTCGAAACACGTCTTCGAAATCCTTTGGCCTGTAGAGATGGACGACTGGTTTGCGCCACTGGAACTCTTCCCTCACGATTGGACCGTATCGCAGATATTTATCAACACACGCTTCGTGAAGATTGCTGAGATTGTAGCGACCTTTGAATGAGAAAACAAAGTCACTTTTGCAAAAGAAAATCTCGAAAAACCTTATTTAATGAATTTACACAGCTGCTAACTCTCCTGGTAGATCTCCGAATCTCCCGCTTTTTAATTTTTAATTAGCAATGAAAATGTTTTTCCGCAATGAATAATGATATAAATAATAAACAAAAAATTATAAAAAAATATAATTTATAAATAAATTTAAATGAATAAAATTTATTAATAATATTATTAAATAAACTATAATTTAATAAAAGTCTATAAATACTATGTATAATGGATATAAATAAAATATATAATTTTGCAAATAAAATTTGCGCAATTTTAAGTTTCATCATTGAGTTAATGAAGCTTAAACTATGCAAATTTAAATCTCCCATCCCTACTGATCTTCAGCATAATTTAATTTAATTTGATTTGAAATTTCTCAGTCTACTATGGACATTTATAGATTCAACCATTTCTTCAATGTTTATTCAGTCACTATTTGTATTTAATGTTTTTTACATTAATAGGCAAAATCACTAGGTCTATTTTCAAAACAGGTAATATAAGAACAATTTAAGCAAAGATTCAGCCTAATCAGTTAATATTTTTCTTTAATTTTGTTTTACATCAATACGTAGAATTATTATGTCTATTTCGGAACAGAAAACATGAAAAATATGCAATTCTTTCCCCGGTATTCGAAATTCGGACTTTCCTAATGCTAGCCGGACGTCTCTCCAATACAGGAAATGCTCCTGTGGGCTTTCGACTATTTTTAAATTTATTAAAAGTTCATTTTAATTTATTATTATTATTTAGCTTTCTACGCGTACTTACCGTCGATATACTTATATAAAAAAATTTTGTACTCATTATAAAAAATAAAATACAAAAAGTTTGACTCTCGCACAACAAAAATTGACCGAGATATTTGATATTAAATTCGGAAATGACATTTAGGGCATCGTAGCCATAGAACGTTGAAATTTTTTATATGGGACTGCTATAATATATAGTTGTGCAGCTTCCTTCTTCGTTGCAGTCGGCTACACGGAATCTATATATTGCAATCGGCTACACGAAACATATATGTATATATATTTTACCCACTGTCTTACCGCATTCGGCAAGCTGGGTGTTTTTTTCTTATATCTGGTAAATTCTACATTTTTTGCTTCAAAAGTGATTCAGTTATGCTGTTCTTATGTTCAGGTTAGGTTTTTTGTCTTTAGTTAATCTGCCCGCAATAGTTGTAGAATTATCAACAGTTTAAGTGGCGCTAGGCGTAACGAAGCTGTCATTTGTTTACATTTGAAACTCTTAGCAGAATAGTGAATTATGTCAGTTGGCGCACCAACTTCAGTGTCTTTTTGCTCAGTGGAATCAAAAGTTAAACTTTCAATTTTTATGCGCACCCATAATTTTGTCTTCCTGTCAGTTGGCCGAATTGCTTAATTTTGCTCACGATGTCTTAGTTTTAATTGTAAAAATTGTGTTTTTAACTGTACTTGGTGTTTTAGTTTTTTCCGTATTTTACAATGTTTTTTGAAGATTGAGTTTTTATGTATATAACTGAATTAATTGATTGATAAGTAGATATCTCTAATGAATTTAGAGGATATAAGCTTAAATGGAGTGCAGCAAAAAGGCGCATAATTTAGCAGACCGTACGAGGCAGTCGTGTGGTGTCTACATCAGATGTTGTGTTGTTGACTTCAGACACTTTTGTGTGGAACAGAATAGTATTTAGTATTTGTGTGAACAGAATAGTACTTAGTCTCTTTATACATCTTCCGATTCAATTATTCTAATTTATTTATTAACCGACTCCTCTATGCAAATTCAAAATGATGTAAAAAATTGCCAGTTTTTAAATAAATATCTCTGCAAATTTTTGTCGTACGTGAACACGTATGTAACATTAATACCTCACATCAACGTATATTAGCATTTTACACATTTCATGGGCATTGGTATAGAACAGAAAATGACAAACCGGCAGAATATATATCTCCGATGCTTTTCGAATATCCCGGGGCAATAATCCCTAGATTCTTTTTAGTAGTCATTTTAGCAGTTTTTACATCATTTACTAACTTCTGTTAAGTAGTTTCGATTTAGAAAACTGTCTTCTTGCAACATTAATTCGAACTTTGGATAATTCCTCTTCGAATCGTTGTTGCATGTCTATTCATCCTGACTCTTCTCTTGCATTACGTCTTGCTCTTACATTTTCATGCAAGCACAGCAGTAAACTCATTTTTGTCGGAGAAATTTTAAGTAAAATTGTGTTTTTGTGAAATAAATAAAGAAAGGCATAAATGTTGTTGCGTACAATTTTCTTTACGTATTTTTTTTTAAATTTTGAATGGCACTCTTTCATTATTTTTTCAAAATAATATTTGTGTTTTTGAGGAATACACGTTTTTTAAATAATCGCTTCACCGTGATCTTTTTTCATCGAAATAGCATTTATTGCTCTATACAATGCTATATACAGTGCATAGGGAAAGTATATAATAACTCTCATATTTCGTAATATGTCTAAAACGCTAGTTATTCTGTAGAATACATAGGGAAAGTATATAACAATTCTCATATTTCGTATTTTTCCTAAAAACGCCACTCATTCTGTAAAATGCCTAGCTGAAGTATATGACACAATTCTCAAATTTCATACTTTGTCTAAAAACACCAGTCATTCGGTAAATGCCGAAGTATTCTATAAA